CGTGGTATTTTGTGGAAGAGCCACACTCAAGGGGCCAAGAGCTGCAGTTTGCCAACCACTGCGCCTAGAACCATTAAGGCCCGTGGCTAGAGGGCATTTTCCTTTCTTTGGAAGCTCTTTAGGATCAGACTCCTACAACTTCCTTCAGCAGCTCTTTACAGTGACAGATTCCGTTACTGATAAATAAATATTTATAAAGCACCTCGTGTGTGACAGACCCCATGGTAACATCTGGGGATACAAAGACCAATCCAATATGGTTTACTTTCTCAAAGATCTTAGAGTCTCATAGAAGGGGATAAGAGTGTTTGGGGGAAGGCGGGGCAGATATGTATTCATGAATGTGCACTAAGATATGTCAAGTATACCTACGGTCCCAGATGTGGGGAGGGAGAAAGGAGAAAGCCCCCTGACTTCCAGGAGGGTAGTAAGGAAAGTCGTCATAAATGTCTGATTATTGAAAGAAAAAGAAAAGTAGGTACTGTGTAAAGAACGGGGTTCTAGCACTCCAAGGAGCAGAAATGAAGGCACAGGGGCGTGAACCTGGGGTGGGGGGCAAGGGGAGGAGCTTGCACCTGGAAAGAGGTAACCCCGCCGTTTTGTTTTGTTTGCGGATGGCCTCAGATGCCATTTTGAAAAACACAGGCTTTGGCTGCATCCTGTACTGCGGGAGAAGAAAGCACCTGTAAAGGAGATTATTGGTCAATGGGAACAGTTGGAAGATGGATGGTAGATTAAAATACTGTAACTGCATTAAATTTACTGAAGTCCCCTGAGGTCCTGTAAGACCATATTCTTATTCTGAAAGAATATACCCTGAAAGATTTATAAGTAAAGGTCCATGATGTATGCAGTTTATTCTCAAGTGGGTAGAACAAAAATTGTGTGCGAGTATGTGTGTGTATTTGTATGTGTAGAGAGAGAGTGTGTGTGTGTGCACAAGCACACAGATGGGGTAAAATGTTAACAACAGGTAAATCTGGGTAAAGGCAAATGGATATTCTTTGTACTATTCTTATAACTGCATGTTTGAAATCATTCTAGATTAAACATTGGAAAAATTACCCTCAAAGCGTACAGGAATGGGTCTCTTTAAAAACACACACATACATATCTTAAACATTTTATTTAATCCTAAAACATACAAATGTGGATTTACTTATTCAGCCTCGTATTAAGCTGTTCATAAGACAGAACACTATCATACATTGTGGCTCATCCACTTCATGATTGAAGCTGAGTCTGTCTGGGATTCAAGCTGTGTCTCAACAAAACACAGGAAGAACATTTGGGCCACAACATAAGCAATTTTGGACTCTGTTTATTTCCCCCTCTTTTTCATCTTTTCCTATTTATCTCCATCTATTTTTGATATGACAACATTATTTCTGTATCATTCAGTATTTCATTTCCCAACAAGTTAAAATGCCCAAATCATTGTTACATGTTATCTTGCTTTAAAAAAAAAAATCACTTGAACCTTGATTTGTTAAAAATCAGCTAACTACTAAATTATATGCTTCAGCCCTAGCCGGTTTGGCTCAGTGGATAAAGCGTTGACCTACGGACTAAAGGATCCTGGGTTCTATTCCATTCTGGTCAAAGGCAGGCTCGATCCCTAGTGTGGGGCATGCAGGAGGCAGCCGATCAATGATTCTCTCTCATCATTGATGTTTCTCTCTCTCCCTCTCCCTTCCTCTTTGAAATCAATACAAATATATTTAAAACTAACTAAATAAATGAATTATATGCTTCATTAAAAAAAAAGAAAAAAGTAGACGCTGACCTAGAAACAATGAGAAGTCAATTAAGGGTTGTTTGTTTTTTTAACTAGAGAATAGCATGGTCAGATTTGCATTTTTAATCCAATTAGTTAGAATATTTTTCTTCATAGCCAACCATAGCTTGCCTATTTAAGCTAATTTCTTCATCCTTATTTTTTGTGGACATAAAGAATACATAAAATTAGTAATCAAATGTGAGTCCCTTGGCCTTTTCTTGCTTTAATTACACAACCTTTCCTCACAGGACCTGTTTCCACTACTTTAATTACCTTTGGCGTTCATCTCTGAATCCTCACACACTTCTCCATCTCCTTGAAGAACTGTGGTGACCAAAACTTAATGACTAGTTAACTTCCAGAAGCATGTGGGCTCTTCCCCACTTTTTTTTTTTTTGCAATGGCATTATACTAATGAATCACATCTATTAACTATTAAACATAGATGCCTTTCTTTGATAATTAATGTCCTACTACTTCCTCATTCATTTAAACTGTATAATTGGGATACTGCTTTCCCTAGAGCAGGGGTAGTCACCTTTTTCTGCCAAAGGCCATTTGGATATTTATAACATCATTCGTGGGCCATACAAATTATCAACTTAAAAATAAGCCTGCTAGCCTGGCTGGTGTGGCTCAGCGGTTGACCAAGAGGTCACAGGTTCAATTCCTATGGGCTCAACCCCAGTAGGGGGCGTGCAGGAGGCAGCCGATTGATGATGTTTCTATCTCTCTATCCCTTTCCCCTTCCTCTCTATCATATTTTTAAAAATATATATATCTTTATTGATTTCAGAGAGAGGAAGGGAGGGATAGAAACATCAATGATGAGAGATGAGTGAATCATCAACCAGCTGCCTCCTGCACACCCTACACTGGGAACGGAGCCCACAACCCGGGTATGTGCCCTTACCTGGAATTGAACCATGACCTACTGGTTCATGGGTCGACACTCAACCACTGAGCCAACTATGACCTGCAGGTTCATAGGTCAGCACTTAACCACTGAGCCACACGGGCCAGGCTCTGAGTTCTATTTTTGTTTCAAAATTATTCTAACCTTTAGATTCTTACCTTTTATTGTAACTTATTATATGTATTTATTTTATTCTAATGTTTTCTCTAACCTTCTCGACATTTTTAGTTTTAATTCTTTCCCTGTCTTTTAATTGCTTTTAAGTGAATTTTTCTTTTTAACTAATGCTTTTTCCTAACTTCTTATTTTGATTTTGCTTGAATGCAGGGGCTATAGAAATGAGGAGGACCCAAACCATAAGTGGGAATTATTCAAGGCTGTTGTGTTCAGTTCTTCTGTAGTTGTCCTATCACTTCCTCCTAGAAATTCTTTCTCCTCTTGA